AAATTAGCTGGGCATGGTGGTGTGTGCCTGTAATCCCAGCTACTCAGGAGGCTGGGGCAGGAGAATTGCCTGAACCCAGGAGGCGGAGGTTGCGGTGAGCCGAGATCGCGCCATTGCACTCCAGCCTGGGTAACATGAGTGAAACTCCGTCTCAAAAAACAAAACAAAACAAAACAAAACAAAAAAGTCTGCAGACTTAGGGGTGGTCAAGATACAATCTCATACAAATAGTTGCAGCCCAAGAACATGCTTTCAAAGCGTGGCACAAACTAGTGATGATATCCTGATCAGCAGAATCTCCAATCCCCTTGTCCTACATGCAGAGAGGGGCCTATCTAGTGTATGACCACAATGTGGGAGTCAGAGTTGGGCAAGAACAGTGGTATAGGAAAGCATTATGTCAAAGCTATGGGTAGAGTTGCAGCTTTTCTCAGGGCACATGTAAAGTTGTTATGCCAACTTTCCAATAATTCCCTTAACTCTGTCTTAGCCTTTTTATATCTTTGTAGTAACGTCAATCTCTTAATTTCCAACATAGTGAATTAAATCCCTGGAGATGCTCTGGAGAAAGTCTCCTAGTCTCTCTCTTTGAGCAGTTGTTAAATGATTGATGGGATCACACATATGGGAATATCTAAGAAGCTGATTCTCATGCCCTGCTCTGGTGGAGGCTTCCTGGGTAGTTGGTGGTTGTGAGCCACATCTGTTGTAAATTGGCTCAAAGCCTGCAGCTTTTGTTCTTTGATTGGAAAGAAACTCAAATGTGGGGTATCAAGGGTATAGGGGACCACAGGATGTGGATATTCTGGGTCTCTGGTGCCTCCTAAGGAAGATGCATCTGTTGGAACAAGTATCTGGTAAGAAGACCAAGTCAGTAGTGGGCCTGGGCCGTTTCCCAGCACTCAGGTCCCATCTATCCCATCACTTCCCACTTCTTTCTTAGAACATGAGCTTTTCCAGGTTAATTAGCGAAGCTGTATAGTTAGGTCTGATTACTGATGTCAGTGTGATGGTGTAAATACTGCTGAACAAGGAGATCCTTCCTCCACATGTGATAGAGACCAAATGTCTTTCGATGTGGAAGCCAAAGAATCATGGCAGAATTATCCTAGCCCTTCCTGGCAAGCAATCTATCCAGAGAGAGAGAGTCATAGTAGGAAGAAAGCCTTTTCATTGTTTTTTTTTTTTTTTTTTTTTCATTCAAATAGAGGTTAGTAAATCTTGGTGCAAAATGCTCTCCCCTTTAAACAGTTAACTGGCATTGATAGCTGAGTTAATTACTATCTGTAGGGCAGAGTCTCAATTTTTTGAGAATTTAGTCTCACTAAATTCTGTGTATGCAGAAGCAACACATAGGAACTGAGGAAATATATTCAAATGGAAATAAAGCATGATTTAAGACTTGCTTCATATGTAGTCTTTGGCATCTTTGTGTTGGAAAGGGGAAGGTTTTCGTCTGGAGTCACATTCACTTATGTCAGCTTGGTCCTCCACACTAACACCAGAGTGTGTTGGCTTGGTTCTTGGTTATTTTTGAATAGATGAGGCTTGCCATAAACACATTGGAGAATGAGGAATGGTATTAGGAAGACAAACATAGCCCACAGAGTTGGAGTCGTCTAAGGTGACACTTCTCTTTTCTTCCATTGAAGGTGTATGATCTGGGCATCTTCCATTTATAGTCCACAGAACTGCTGCATTTGAGTATTTGCCCAGGAGCCTTAGAGGACCCATATGCCCTGGAGAACCTAAGATTCAGTTCTGAGCCTTTACAGGAGCAATATGTTGATAGCTCAACCTTTTCCAATAACAAATTACAGTGACAAAGTAGCTGGACCTGGATTTCCACAGAAACTCCCGAGCCTTTCTGAGCCAGGCACATTTACAGCTCATAACATCAGTGGAGTTCAGGCTCAGTCTCAAAATGCTGCTCTGGGACAAGCCTCTGTGCAAAATGCTTACAAATGGCGCATGGTGGTGCTAACTTTCAGACACACATGAGTTTGGGGTGGGACAGAAAAGCAAGCAACAGCAACAACCAAAGAAACCCCCAAAACAGAGTAAGAAGATCTGTTTTACATCATTTCCCTATTGAGATGTTAATGGTTTTAGAATAATAGTTATTGGAGGCTCAGAGTGGAGAGGCTGGGAGGAGAGCTAAGAGGTAGGAAATTTGTAGGGAATCAACACTGCGTAGATCTTAAAGAAAGTATGATTTTAAAAAATAGAGGCTCAAGGATTAAGAACAGACTGAGATATTTAAAAATAAATGCTGCAGAAAACACCAAGTGAATGATTGAGTATGGAACAATAATATCGAGAGCTCTTTTTTGAGACTGGGTCTCACTTAGTTGCCCAGGCTGGTCTTGAACCCCTGGCTCAAGGGATACTCCCACTTCAGCCTCCTGAGTAGATTGAGAGTGTTTTTTTTTAATTGATGTCCTCTTCCAAGGCAGTGCAGGTTCGAGCTCTTTGCTCATGATAGCTGCCTGGAATAACAGACAAATGAAAGAGGAAATCTCTTTATAGAGGTTTCTGAAGAAATTAAAAAACTTAACTTGTACATTGACCTTGTAATGTAAGTGAGAACATACAGAAAAGCCCTTTGGGGAGTTAGCTTTAGAAGAGAAATACTGGGAAATACAAGTAAGCCAAGGGACTTACAGAAAAAGTAGAAATTCCATGTTTAATTAATGGTCAGATTTAACATAGCTCAGAATATATAATTTTCCATCAGAATATTGGTAACATTTCAGCAAACTTGGGTCTGGGGACCCCAGGCTGAGTAAAAATGGTAGATTCTGTGTGAGTTCAATCAAAGAGACATAGGGGACAATTAGTCCAGTCTCTGCTTCTGTTGTTAAGCAGAGCTTCTAGCCCAGAAGCACACTGAGATGTCTTGTGTTTTTCACGTCTTTAGTTTTTGAATGCTGTACTGTACCCAAGGACCTTGCTTTTTTCACTCTGCAGAGGCATGATGTGGGACATCCCATATTCGAGACACAGATGGCTTATTGAAAGCCCTGCCTAAGACTTAATTAATATCAGTATTTCAAGTAGCTTGCAAGATTGAATTCTGTGGCTATACTGTAGGAATATAGACTTCCTGGTCTTTTTCTTACTGCCTCCAAATATAAACAGATAATCCTCTGTCTGGTTTCTTGGGAGCCAGCTGTATCTTACTTTCTTGTAGGAACATTCCAAAGGGTTCCTTCAGAAAACTTGGGAAAGTGTAGTCTAAAGACAAACCACAGCCTGAAGCTGCTGACTTGAGCACAGATGGGAGAATGTTAACAGCCAAGAAATATGAGGTCTTTGGCTCTTTTCCCAGAACTGCCAGGCTAAGACCTTGGCAGAGACTCAACAGGAAACTGAACTCTATTTGCATATCCTTTTATACATGGGAGATTAAAAGCTTCAACCTTGAGTGATCATAGTTTTTGAGAATCATGATGAGGCATTAAAGAAGAGGAGGAGTGTCTCAAGTGAGGTGAGCTAGAGGTGATGCAAGGTAGGTGTGAGGTTAGTCATGACTTTCAATCTCCTTTGATTAATCATGAGTTTATTTCATTTAGTTCCTTTTTTCGGTTTTAACCTTACTGGGTCACATAAAGAAATCAGCTAGGCAGGAATCTGTACTTCCTAAATCTCAGGAATCTGTCAAATTTGATCTCCTTTGTCCCATGATGGCTTGCTTTTCTTTCTTGCTGGGCAGACCTATAGCTTGTTAGTGCTAAACTTAAGATAATCTAACGTGAACTCTTTACTGTACAGATGAGAATCTAAGGTGCAAAGAGGTTAAACGACTTGTCTACAGTCACACACAAAGTGAAGAGTAAGAGTTCTGACATCCAAATGAAATTTTTTCTTTCCAGCAGACTGCTGGCTCTTTTTAGCAGGTGGAAGTTTCCTCAGATCTCAGACAGCTTCTTTCCGGTGTGTGATTTGGCGCAGATATTCTGAACTATCTTTCCTCATCAAAACATGCATTTCTGGCAAGACAGAGGCTCTCATTCCCTGCCTTTCCCCTACCAGTTTCCCTAGATCAGGTCCCTGTAATTCTTTAGTGGAAGAAGCCAGAGGACTGAAATGAGGCTATTTATCCTTGGAACTCATTTAGGAAAACTTGGTTTTCTTGGCCAAGTATTACAATGAAAACTAACTCCATGTAGACAGCATGGGCAGAATGAGGCTGGACAGCTGACTCATCACAGGCCAGTAATTAATATTATAGGTTCCTTTTTAAGGATGGGAGAAGATCTCTATTCCTAAATGGATGTATGCATTAAATGTGTCCTAAAGACTCGGGAGGCCCTGTGGGAGAGCAGCCATAACGTTAGGTATGGCTGCGCTTTCTAAAGACTGAGACCCCCCTTGTCCAGATCTTATCTCAGATATCTGAACCAAGTTTGTCACAGAAGGTTTGATGTAAAAAATTCATTCATGCAGGGCATGGGGGCTCACACCTGTAATCCCAGGACTTTGGGAGGCTGAAGCAGGAGGATCACTTGAGCTCAGGAATTTAAGTCCAGCCTGAGTAATATAGTAAGACCTTGTCTCTATGAAAAATTAAAAAATGACCCAGGCCTGGTGCTGCACACTGTAGTCCCAGCTACTCAGGAGGCTGAGGTGAGAGGATCACTTCAGCCCAGGAGGTTGAGGCTGCAATGAGCCGTGACTGTGCCTCTGCACTTTGACCTGGGTGACAGAGCGAGACCCTGTTACTATTGGTGAGGCTGACACTGAGCTGTGTCACTGCATCTGTGCAAATGAAGGGTAATGAGGACACCGTCTCTTGTTGGGGAGCTAGACCCTCCCAGTGATGATCTTGCTTTTGGGACCTTCACTGTCATTAGTGCAGGGAAAGGATTTAGAGAGGGTGCGTGGGAAGAGCTTCCTGATGAGGCATTATTTAATGAAAAATGTGTTGAGAGGCACTTGAGATTTCGTGGTTTGAAAAAACGCTAACGGTCGTTGGTCATGTTCTCACCCATTCTAGGTTTTCTGTCTTTCCTTTCCTGTCTCCTTCCATCTGGAGTCAAGGGTGAAACCACTGCACTGCAGACCATTGAGTGCTGAGAGGAACGGAGTTAGCATTGCCGAGCACCTCTGCTATTGTAGTCACTCTGGTACTTACCAGCAATTATTTAATTTAATCCTTATAATAACTCTATGACATTATTATCCTTATTTTATGGATGAGGGAATAGAGGTTTAGAAAAATTAAAGCAACATTTTTCAAGGTCCCAGAACTAGTAAGTGAGGGGTTGTGATTCAATTTTTTTCTGATTCCAGAGCCTATGCTCTTTTCACTACTAAAAGAATTCACTTATAAAAATGTATATGTAGTTTGTAGTCCAAATTTGTAAACGTGTTCATTTTAAGGTAAGTGAAAGGACCTTGCCAAAGTTAGGGGCAATTTCTAGTTTACTGTTTTGAAATTTGACACACATTAATATTTTTGTGAATGATTAAGCCTATTTATTTTTGTATATCACTTTACCTACCTGCACTACATTGCCACCTACTTAAGAGAGGAAAACTGCCTATTTAAATTGTGCCATGAGACCTCTCGTTAAAACAATGAGAAAGTTTTCACAGATCTGCCAGTGTGGAGGAGATGGCAGGAGGTAGTTGTCTGGAACTTGGAGAACACTTCACTGCCATTTTTCTTTCACTTTGGCATGATCACATGATTTCCCCTTTCTGTCTTTTCTCAGCCCTTGCTTCTAGGACATTGGAGGAAAGAGAGGAAAATATAGTATATCACTTTACCTGTCTGCACTATATTGCGTGATGTGGAAAAGTCACTGAATTTCTTCATTCATCAGTTTCTACATCTTCAACCAAAGGGGTTGAGCCTGATGGTAATTGGTTTCTCATTGTTGTGACACTCTGAGACACATATATGGGGATGGATATCCTCCATAGAGAAAGCATGATGATGGTTTTGATGCTGAGAAATTGACTTTCTATGAACTGAAAGATTTTACATTTATTCTTACTATAGAGTTGGGCTATTGCTATTGTGTCAGTTCTCTAATTTCAACTTATAGAGACAGCTACACTGGGCTTTGTGGTTTCTTGTGTCCTTATTTATGAACTTGGTGCATAAAACCCTTCTTCATCTGTTTAGAAGACTGAGGCAGCTAATCCTTTATCGACCACTCATGATTCTAACACACGTGTTATGCAAACACAGTGAGGTCTTTATGCATGAGGAGGCCTTGGCTGTGACAGAGCTATGACAACTCACACTCAGGCTGTGTCCTTTGTACTGTCCCTGGGGCTGCTGACTTTCCTTCTCACTGCCTCAGAGTAAAACTTCTCGCTTCTGTCAGATGGCAGGTAAAGGAGGAAACTGGCTCTAGGGCCTACCCTGGGCCCTGTTGTCCCAGTACACCCAGAAGCCAAGGAGGATGAATCCCTAAAGCTCAGCTAGGGATGGTAAAGGCTCTTCAGCCTTCTCCATAGTGGCTCTGTAGCCCTCAGGTTTCTCTATGACTGACTTTTTGGAGAAGCCAGAAAAGGAAAACCAAGAATCTCACTGAGGTGAACACATGCTTTATTTCAGCTTCACAATGGAGTGAGACAGTTTTTGGGAGGCACATCAACCTGCAGGTATAGATGAGGCTGCAGATTCTTTTCCGGGGCTGCTAGAGTAGAGTCATCTGGGGAGTGAAAGAAATGCATCACCCACTGTGTATATTTACCTGGATGGTTGGGGAAGAAACACTCATCAATCCACAGGATGTGGTCACGTGAGGAGGGAGAGAATCAAGGCAAAGGGCTTGAAATGCCATGCCTCATTTCATTTTTCATATGTCAGTAATTGGTGCCGTCATCTTCCTGTTCGTGGTGTAAGGCTTGGTCTTTTCAGGACTGCTTCCTTGCTAAACCCTCCCGTCCACTCCCCAACACACTTTGTACTAATTAATGACATTTCATCGCTTGGTTTTGAAAAATGAAAGTGTGAACTACTTGTGAAAGAGCTCTTAGCAAGATAAGGAAGAAAAAAATGATTCCTTATCCCCCCAACCTATAGAAAAGCTGGTATATATGTCTTAAGAATATGCATGAAAATGTTATTTCTAACAGGGATAGTGCAGCAAGCATCCACACTCCAAATATTGGTCTCCCTGCCTGCACGCAGGTCTTTGCTGAAATGTCACCTTCTCATTGTATCCGTTCTTGACAACCTGATTTAAAATTGTAATTTCTCCAAGCCTGCCGACAACCCTCTCTCTCTCCTCGCCTGTTTTACTCCTCTCCATGGCAATTATCTCCATCTGACATATATTTTACTTATTTTATTTTATGTTTATTTCTACTAAAATATAAGCTCCTGAGATTCTGAGAGCTGTGCTTCCATTGTGTCTAGAAAAGCGTCTGGCGCATACGAGGTACTTAATAAATTGTTACCGAATGAATGCTGCTATATTCTATGAAAGCACTTTAATTTCCAAAAGCCTGTACTTTGGGGTTTTTTTTCTTAATAATTTGTTGCCCTAGTAATATATTTAGACTGACATTTCTTTTTCTGAAAGTTATAAATACTTATGCAATTTTGTCCTTAAGCCCGAAGGATAATTAAAACTTTCCCTATTCTCCCATATGTATGTAGGTAAAAAGAAAACTGATGACTGTTAGATTTCTTATTTAAACACAGAGTTTGAGAACCTGGCTTTATTTAAATGAATACAAGCAATTGCATGTTGGCTTCCTTTGCCCCATCACTGGGGCTTTTTCCTATGAAGTCAAGCACGCTGGGTGGCATGCTGTTCCACTGGCTGGCTGCTGTCTTGGAGCCTGGGAGCATCCAGGACATGCCTTCGGAGAACCCCTGCAGTGTTTCTTGCACTTGACTATACACTGTTAACCACTCATAAACATACGTGTTTGTGTACGTGTAAATTGCTAAAAAGCCCAAAAAGACCCTGTGGATTCTGCATTTTTGAAGAACACCGAAATCTTTTGGCGGTGGTGGTGACAAAGAGAGGGAGTTAGGAATCGCTCCCTTGCTTAGGAAAATGTGTTATCGTGGATTTTCATGGTGAAATAGCATGCCCCAGCAAGCCTGTTTGGAGAGAAGGTTTGCAAAATTCCTTTGTGGAATAAAATAGAAATGTTTGGCTTTTCCTTTGACAGCCTTAGACTCAGGGCCTGGGGCCTTGGGACTCAAAAGAGAAAAGGTGGAGAAAGGAGAAAATCTGCTATTCTCTTCATTTTGCCCCTACTAACATCCAATGTACTTAGGAGCCTCGATGTCTGCTCTCCCAGAGTAAGTTATGTGGTGTTCCAGAGTGCTCTCTAATCAACTCTTCGGAAAATCTTGTTATAGTCAATAGCATTTTTGTTTAGTGGGTAGACGAGGCTTGGAGAAAGCCTCTCAGAGGGCAGAGTCCGCTCCAGCCTTGTGCACCACTGTGTCCCTGGCATCCAGCTCAATGCAGGGTAGGTAGCACTCACTCATACTTACTTCATTCACTCATTCATTTAATACATTTATTGAGTGTCTGGTATGGTCCAAAGTTATTCTAAGTGCTGGAGTGAAAGCAATGAACAAAACAGACAAAAACTCATCCCTGCCACCAAGGACCTTGTATTCCAGTGGAGAGCCAGACATCAAAAAATAAACAAGTAAAATATGTAGCACACCAAATAGTGATAAATTCTCTGGAGAAAACTGAAGCAGATATGAGAGAGGTACTTGCTGGAAGAATAAATAAAGTGCTCAGACAAAAAAAAAGCTGTATAATCGTATCATTTCAATTAACATTTTAGGGTAATGTGTTGAATTGAAGAGTAGGAAAGGAACCTTGATTCTGAGTTTGTTCTCCTTGTCAGTATGGAAAATTTATTACTGAGCATGTATTGTCTCAGATACTGCAGTGGACGAAGACCCTAACTAAAGCAGAGAAATTTGGTTAGAAATTAATTTCTACTCTTTACACAGTGGCTCCTGCACCTCAATCCACTGCAGTGTTTTCTGGTACCTGTGTGCTCACTTTTGAATGCAGAGACTTGTGGCTATCAGATCTCAAGCCCCATTGCTGCCTCTGTATGAGTGATAAGTCAGTGAAAATGGAAGAGACAAACTTGCACACTTTGCCTGACAGTAAAGATATATATGGGTGGTAAAGTCACCAACTCTATGGACCTGACAGAAACCCAGAGAATTTTTCTAGCTCTCATTATGCCAGTCCTGGACCCCTAGAGTTGCTACTCCAGTCAGGCCCCTGAGAAGGAGAGGAAAAGGTAGTGAATCCATGAACACCCACAGAGAATCTAAGGGAGTCCAACAAGAGACTACCTTTGATAAGCATCAGAAGGAGAGCATACGTGGGCCGGTCTCTCATGTTTCTCATGGTGTAGCCTGGAAGAAAAGCTGCCGACCTAGTAGGGGTGGTGGTCAGGAGTGCGAGTGGCAGTGGGCTGGGGAGCAGCTGCCTTTGTTCAGCCAGGGGAGCGAGCCGTCTTGAGAGAAAAGCCTGGAAGCTGAAACTGCACTTGGTGTTTTAAAGCAGGGGAGAGGAGACAAGGGGAAGGAGTTGAAGACCTCACCTCTTATCCTTTCTTCTGGAAACTAGCCAAGGAGTCAAAAGCAACTTTTGCACGAGCAAAGATGATTGGACTTCCCATACCTGTTCCCAGCTATCCTTTACTTGAGATGTTGCTGTAGGTAAGATATTTCTTTATTACATTCCGCAGTCCCAGCCCAGTACCCCAGCCAGGACAATTAAACTTCCAGTCAGACCCAGATCCTGGCTCTCCTTCTATAAGCAAGCTGTCTAGCCTCTCTGAGTCTCAGTATCGTCACTTGTAAAACCGAAAGGATAATAATGACCTCACTGAGTTGCCATAGGATAAATGAGTCCATACATGTAAAGTGGCTGTATTTTGTTGGTGCTCAGAAATTTAGTTCACTTTCTTCTCAATTATTCTTCCTTGCACTTTGCTTTTTCTTATAATAGGTAACATTTATTAAATAGCTACTATAGGCAATGCAATTTATTTAGTTTCTTTAATTATATATTTTACAACACAGTGAAGATAGAACTCTTAATTTCACAGTTCCTAATTTCACAGATGAAGAGATGCAGATGATTTTAGAAGACAGTATGAAGCTTATGTCAGGATCACAAATCTCAGAAAACATTTGAGAGGTCATTTGGGACCACTGCTCTGTTGTCCCAGTTTTTTGACAAATGGTCACGGAGCATCAGTTTGAACAGGTTTGGTGGTGAAGGCACAGCCCCTGTTGTCTCTTCCTTCTGACACATCCTGGAGGTGGTCTTCTCTATGGGTCCATTTCCCAAATTACATGCTGTGTCCTCTGGTGTAACACCCAGAGTCTCAAATCTGTCACCCTCCCTTACTAACTGTGCTACTTTGGGCAAGTATTTTAGGTATTCTGTGCTTTGGGGTTCTATTTTGTAAAACGAGGACAAGAATAGAAAATGAATACTAGGGTTGTTGTGAAGATTAATCATATAACACACGTTGAGTGCTTAGAATGCTGCCTGGCATATAATAAACACTCAACAGATATTAGTTATTATTATAGCAGACATACAGTTTTCTGGATTTGTCCAGATATTTTTTCCCCTCCTTCTCCTTAGAGACATTCTTCCCAGTCTCTGTTAGAGGGAGTCACTGGGGGTCTTGCTAGGAATCCGTATTGCAGGCCTTATAAACCATGGCTCCACAACTTTGACATCTGCATAACCAGCTTTCCAGATGTCATTCTTTTTCCAAAATTATGATTTCAAACTGGGAGAAGAATTGTATCCTCTTCATGTTGGAGATGCACTCCACCTTCCTGCTTATTATTTGTTCAAAGAAGGAGAATTAAATCTGAGTGGCAGGCAGTGGGCTTGATGAGTCATGATAGACCCTCTGTTTAAATATGTCCCGGGAAGGCTGGGTCCAAACCCCTTTCTAGATCATGGGGCTCAGAGTACTGTATCTGGATGGGAATTTGGGGACCTGACTTTGACCAAGGGCAGAGCCAATATCCAGGGTCTTGCAGATCATTCAACCAAAGAAGCTTCCCAGTGGGGTGGGGCAGAGGCAGAGCACAGGTTCTAGGCCTATGTTGGGACCAGCCATCAGGTCAGAGCGGGTGGGTTTGGGATGAAGAGTGGAAAAGAGAGATTTTTCTGAAGGTTTGGAATATAGCTGTTTGGGGAGATAAATGATAAGAGCTCATGGGGGCAGTCATAACTAAAATGCATGGAACAATGACACATTGTGACATATATATATATAAAATGTGTATGTATAAAATGTGTATTATATATACATGAAAGGTCAGGCAGAATCATGAGAGGAGAGAGGATTGGGAAGACCCTTGGTAAAACAATGAAAAGCCCTGACTGAAACCAAGTAAGCTGTGGCAAGCCCTGTTAGCCTCTTTGTACTTCTGTGGAAGACGGGATATTTGACTAGAGGGGTTCGTTGAAGAACATTTTCTTTAGATATTGCCTGAAGTAGTCCAATGAAGCCTAAAAAATCAAATTTGGGTTTAAAAATATTTTTACAACTGTATTGAGGTATACTTGATGTGAAATAAACTGTGCACATTTAGAGTGCACATTAGCCTAATCTAATGAATTTGATATGCCTGTACATCTGTGAAACCATCACCATAACCAAGTCACTGAAAATATCTATCACTACAAGTTCTTATAAGGCTATTTAATGAGGTGAGTGGTAGATGTTCTAGATGAGGACAGAAGGAAGGCTGATTTCTGCCACAGGTTCAGCCTTGGAGTAGAGAGCCCTGTCAATCATCTAAATCTGGAAAATCACATTGTTCAAGAGAAAAGTGCAGTATTAAATTGAGCTGTCCATAGAAGGATAAGGAAATGCTAGTTGAAGCAATTTTTCAGCGTTTTGTTTCTAGCACATGTGGATGTAAACAGCTAGAGAAGAAAGGGAGGGCAAAATACCTTATCCCACTTGGGCCCAGGGGTACGAGGCTGCAGTGAGCTATGATCATGCCATTGTACTCTAACCTGAGTGACCGAACAAGAGCCCTGTCTCACAAACAAGACAAAACAAAAACAAGACAAAATATCCAGTCAGTAATCATCAAAACAATACAGCATGCTAGATATGGAGGCTTTCCTTCCACATTGGGGAAGATGACAGGTAGTGTACATATTTGATCTGAAGGAGGGAGATGAGCCTTCCTGCATTGCCAGTCCTTTTCCTATAGAATGCATAGATTCAGAGGCATGTGGCTGGGGAGAAACTGGATGTCACCCATAGTTGTACATTGTACGGTGCCTCCTTAATCTATGCTATACTCTAAGCACTTTGGCTCTGTGGGCAAACCTTTTATGAGGCTACAAGAAAATTGTTACCGTAGATGCTACAATTCATTTTTTTTTGGCTCTATCTCTCCTCTCTTCTGTTCCACTGGCAGCTGCCTATCTGAGCACCATGGGAGAGCATGGGCAAGCGGAGTGCCTGAGCCTGAAAGAAAGGTAGGAATAATAGCTTTCTCTGGTCCACATTTCCTAAATTATTTATTCAATAGAAAATCATGATCTTGTTGGAACTGCTGCTATCCATGGATGGCAATGGTTTTTGAGGTGCTGAGAAGTAGAGCTGCAGCAGGGTGGTAGTCACTGGCACAGTAGTAAGACCCTTCATCTCTCTCTGATGCTGCAAGAATCTCAAGTACAGCCTGGTCCTTTTCAGGATCAATTTCACCTTGGAAACCATCCTTGAAACCGGGGCCATAGATGTTCTTTTCTCGGTATATGAAAGTCATTGTGTTACCTTGGGTCTTCCTGTACCAGCTGATGTAATAGTTAGTGATCGCTTCCCCTTTCATGGAGCACCTGAGGGTAGCAGGGTCCCCCAGTGACACAGTCACTGTTTGGTGTTCAGGCACCAACTCAATGGCTGACATGGCTCCTGAAAGAAAAGACACAAGAGGAGAGCTCAGTGAGGGCTGGGGGCTGAGGTCATTGAGTAAGGGGCGCAGTCCATGAGTACCAGATCCTGGGAGCCTTCATGCTTCTTTGCTGCTTAGTCTTGTCTGGCTAAAGTTCCGGGGTCTGCCTTACCTGCCCAGAAGAGGGAGAGATGGATGAGGGAGCAGAACCTCTCCATGGCTCACTTAGGGGCAGCTCTGCCTCCCAACTATCCTCTGGCTGGCCCCTCCTCTGAGCTGACACACTTGTGACACACTTGTGACTGAGGAAGTCAGTCCCTAATCAGCAGCTGTTTCATTCTCCAGAGAAGTGTAGCTGATCACAGGAGGCTCGCAGGGCCTGCTGCCTGTTAGTGGGATGACGGTACCACCTTCAAGACCGATAGTGTGATTCAGGTAAGTTAGGCCAACGGAGAGGAGGTTAAGGCAGGTTATTTAATTGATAACAAGGTTTCTGCTTCCTGTCTTAGATGTTAAATTTGATATTGCTGTTCCAGTTTCAAATGAGATGTTCATGTTAGACACTTTGTGGTGATGTTAACAGTTAATGCCAAGAAGTATTATTGACATTTACAGTTGTAATCAAAAGAACCATCAAATGAGGAGATCGATAGTATGTGCACCAAGACTCTGAAGATGTAATGATTGTTGTGTTCACTGCAAACTCTCTCTAGGCAAAGTTGGATCAGGGTGATTTACCCATGTGTTAAAGAGCAATCCAATGAAACATTGTCTTCCAAATGTGAACCAGAGTTTCCTGCTCCTTATTGAGCTCATCTATCTTCTTTTCTGAAGGGTTCTTAGGTTACCTATATTAAATTACACAAAGGAAAGTATTGTAAAAACTTAGAAACCACCACTACATCCCAACTTATGATAGGCTAAATTTACATGGACTTCAAAAGAGGGAAGTAGTTGGATTTTTGAGACCTACACCTTGGAGTTTAAAGGTCAATCTTTGAAATTTTGAAATCAAACAGGTAAATTAATAATGGGAATGAGAGAGTGCTGCAGAAGCTGGGAAGAGGGTCACTGGCAAGCGAAAAGGCAGCAGCAAAGGTGGCATTCCATATTGGAGGGTGGGTGTGGGACTTACATAACCATTACATTCCCAGGTTAGTTGAGGAAAGACTCACCTAAGCTTTCTTAAGTTCCCCAGTGTGACTAGGACCTGACTGCCCTGAAAAAAATCCAGATAGGAGCAGCTCAGGTTTCTTGATCCCATGGTAGTTGCTCTCCCACCCACCCTTGCCTCGCCTCACCTTGCACAACTGCCCATCCCACCTACTGCTCTTGGAGGACTGTTAGCAAGTACTCAAGGTGGTCACATTCTTCGATGTTATAAATTGTATCCTTAGCACCCCCCTCCCCCGGCAGAACATAATGGTGTCTGCTGTCTATAGCTCTTTGAAAGTTGCTAAGGTCAATCTGGACTGAAATACTTGACCTTTTACTATCAGGCTGCCTAGTTCTTGGCACATCCTATAAACCTAGTCATTCTTACTACATGCCAGACCCTGAGGATTCAATGATGAATGGCAGACACGGTCTTTTCTCTCATGGAGCTTGTGTTCTAGCATGAGAGTCAGTCATCACTTAATGATTTGCATAATTCATTCCTCCATTGCAGCTGTAAGTATTCTGCAGAAGCAGAAGGATTATGAGAGCATGTTTCAGAGGCCAGGTTTGGTTAGGAGGTCAGGGAAGGCTTCCCTGAAGAGAAAGTGGCATTGCAGTTGAGACTGAGTCTGTTTGCCCCTGCACATCCACTCTGCTTCCTGTTCTGGAGGCCTGACCTTAATTGGCAGCATCCACCTGCTTGTCCATTCCATTTGATTTGGCCAATGGAGACACCTTCAGGAGGCTGGAGGGAAGGAGGAATGAATTCATTCACTCACCTTCCTCCACTGGAAGCTACAGTTCCTCTTCCACAGCTGCAGGTTTCTGTAAAGGCTCCTCCCCTACACGCTTCAGGTCTGGCGTGGCAGCAGTTCTTTGTTGCCAGCCTTGGATGTTTCGCCACCTTCTTTTTGGCCTCCTGTAACCCTTCTGTATTAATTTCCTATAGCGGCCTTAACAAAGTATCACAAACTGGGTGGTTTAAAACAATGTAAATGTATTGTCTCATAGTTCTGCAAGCTGGAAGTCTGAAATCAAGGTATCATCTGGGCCACGCACCCTCTGAAACCTGTAGGGGAAGCCTTCCTTGCCTCTTCCTAGATTTTGATGGTTTGCTGGAAACTCTGATGGTCTTTGGCTGGGTGCGCAGCTGCATCACTCCCGTCTTCGTCTGCACTGTGGTTTTCTCTCCCTGTGTGTCTTTGTCTTCACTTGGCTGTCTTACAGAATACCAGTCATATTACATTAGGGGCTCACCATACTCCAATATGAACTCATTTAAACTAATAACATCTGCAGTGACCCTATTTCCAAATAAGGTCACATTCTAAGGTGCTGGGAGTTAAGGCTTCAGCATGTCTTTCCTTGGGAGACACAGTTCAATCCGTAACACCTGTTCACACCTTTGTAAAACTCTCTTTCATTAAACTCTCTCTAATCACCCCCTAGAGTGCCCTGTCTCCTGCTGCAACCCTGCCTAAAACAGGTATGGGCATGGGTAGGGAAATAACATTCTGTGTAGCAAATGAGGACATGCATAAAAAAGCCTTGAGGCAGAAAGAAGTACAGAGGGCTTAAAGCTGTATTAATATCAAAAGAGCCGTTAGCAGGGCTCAAATAAGCCTGTCTTTCTAGATAATTATTGTTGAATTATCTCAAATTATTCAGGAAGTCATTCTGAAAAGGCCCAAGAATGTGTATTATGTTTATGACTGTGATTTATATCTTCCACTGGTTAGAGGTAATTTTAAGAATTTATTGTTAATGGCCAAAAACAACCTTCCTCTAGGCCTGACTGAGAGAGCTGGTGTGAACAATAAATCAAAGGCAAAGGGAGGAGACAGTACAGGAGAGGGCAGGTGATGATGTGGTGGGAGCTGGGCCAGAGTGCGGCTAGCGCTTCATCGGGTCAGGAACAGTCAGCTTGGCCTGGGCCTGTGGCAGGATAAGATGGAATTTAAACAAAAACACAGCCTGTCTTGGGGTGCCCAGGTGGAAGGTAGAAACATCCGCCAGGGCTCTGCCCTAGGACCAACTGTCCTCCGGCCCTGTGCAGGCTCTTTGTGCTCAGTCACTCTTCATGTCAAGGCCAGCAATTATGCCATAGTCTCCTTGGCCCTGTCAAGGGGATATCTGTCCCTTCATGTGATTTCTAGGAAAAACTAATTTTTTTTATACTCTGTAAAATAGGAGACGATAACTCATAGGATTTCTGTGAGAAATAAATGAAATTATACTTGTAAACACTTGGCTCATTGCTTAATGATGTTAATTTTCTCCTTGTCATACAAATAGCAATACCTGAGACTAGAACAGTTAGTAGGAGAGGCAAGAGTGGTTTTGGGGTCTTTATCAATTCTCCCCCATAATCTCCATTTCTCCAGAATTAAAGGTTTCCCATTCTTTAATGTCTTTCCTAATCTTATGTGCTATGAAAATACAGCCTTAAGGTAAGTTCCTGAGGCATCTTCCAACCAGGTTGCTATCTTCAGCCCCTCCTCTGCAGAAACTCGCAAGCTGCCATTGCATATTGTGTTGTATGATTTGTAAATGCTGCCTCACGTTTGTTATTTAGTCTGTTCTTATCTCTGGTGTAATCCCCCCAAAGCACTCACTGAACCCATACTGGTCTTCAAAAATTCTTATCAAAGTGAAATACTTTCTTCTGTCCACAGGAAGTCTGATCTGAAAGCATATTGCGGTCCACTACACACAGGAGCAAAAGAAGAGCAGGAAGGAGCACAGTGCCAAGATCATAGCCACAGGAAGGACACTAACTCTTAGGGCTGCAGCTCTAAAAACAGGCCAGGTCATTATAGGAATGTCTGCTCCCTTAGCCTTGCCAGACAGAGGGGGGTTAAGAAAGGAACTGCTGACTCTGATATGCAAACTGCCATGGGTGCTTCCTACCTTTCTATCTGCATCAGATGGCTAGTGATGAATGGCTGTAAAGTTGATGTAATTTATATTTCATTTTCAGGGCCACAGTGCGGGTTGGGAGCACCAGACAAATCAACCAACAAACAGATTGAAGAGTGATGGAGAAAGCTGTGTTTTGGGCCTCATTGGGAACAGAATGGAAGAGCTGAGGGTGGAAGGGACCTTAGCAAGTCTTCAGATCCATGTTTCAACCTGCATTTCCCCATAACCTCAAGCAGAGAGTTGCTTTTCCTGTTCTTCAAATGAGTTCCTTGAATTCACACTCTATTTCTTTGAATTTGCACAGACTGTTGAGGAACAGGAGGCGGGGTCACGCTACCTCTGCTCAGACAAACCTGGAAGAGAAAAATTTTACGTAGAATACTGGGCTGGAAGAGGCCTGGGAACTTGGGGATCCCCTTTCTGCACTGCCCCCACTCTAGATTTCAAGAGGCAGCTATGCTGCAGTGGAGACCACTGAATTTAGATTCAGAAATCTGAGTTTACACCTGACTCCTCCTCTTATGTGCAAGTCACTCACCACACCAGGCCTCAGTTTCCTGAACAATAAATGGGGATAGTATTGGCCCATGTGGTTGTTGGTGGTCATGAAATTACGCACAGGAGCACACCTTATAATCTAAGTTAGACCTGCACTAACCTGGATTAGCTGACGAGGGTGGAAGGTGGGAGGGGTGGGCTTCAGTGTGTGACTTACCTAGAGGCCCAGGAGAGTCACGTTGAATAGGGCAGCACTTATGAGTCCCCTGCTTTCCCAGTGTGGCTCTGAGAATCTTCAGGAAGAATTGGCTGGTTGAATTCTCAACTCTACCAAGAAAGATGTGCTGGAGACCAGGACCATAGAAGTCACCTTGTTGATGTACAAGAATCAGGAAGCCATCTCGGGTCCTCTTTACCAGCACATATTGTAATTATTCATCTTCTTCCCTGTCAATTGCCACTGGAAAATTTTGCTTCTTCTAAAAGGAACAAATGTCTCTAGCTCTTGTTGCTCCAACAGGGTGTCTGGCTTGATTCCTAAAATAAATAAACAGATTGATATAATAAGTAAATCAAGGTAAAAGGAAGATAGAGAAATTGAAGAACCACATCAGAGTATCAAGGACTGGAGTACCAGTGTGGGAACCACCTTCCTTTTCAGTTTTCCCACAAACTCTCCCTGGGACAATTTCATCAGAGGAATCATTCATTCATTCATCTATTTGGCAAAGCTCTCCTGGCTTGTATGGTATTCTCAGTGCTGGGCTGGCTCTTTTGGGGAGGACAGTGATTTGGTCTCTCAGGGGCTTGCCAGACCCAGGGAACTTCAGGGCCTGTGGT